CTTCCCCCTCCACCCCATCTGCTTTATCCCACTCCCTCAACCCACCCTTCAGTGCACTCCTTGTTCCAGATTGTTGTCATCCATATAATGCCTAATCACATATTCCTTTCAGGTCGTTCTTCCCCTCGTCTCTTCTAATGAAGTATTCATTATCTGTCCACTCTTTTTCCATTTTCTCCCAAACCCCACCATGTCTGTCCTATTTTATAACAGTGGTGCTATGCAGTATTTGTCCTTTTGTGACTGAGATATATCGCTGAGATAATGTCCCCTAGGCTCCCCTATGTTGTGTAATACTGTGAGTTCTTAGTTTCTTCAGTACCGTGTAATATTTCATTGTGTGAATGTACTGTTGTGTTTGTATCCATTCATTTGTTGATGGGCGCTTGGGTTGCTTCCATGTCTTTGCTATTTGTGAATAACGCTGCAATAAACATGGGTGTGCGTATATGTATTTGAATCATTGCTCTTGTTTCTTTAGTATATATTCCCAGTAGTGGAATTACTGGGTCAGATGCTATTTCTGTTTACAACTTTTTGAGAAAGTACCCGACCGCCTTCTGTCGTGGCTATACCATTTTACTTTCCCATCAGTCCAGTGAAGAAGAATTCCAATTTCTCCACAACTTTGCCAGCCTTTATTATTTGCTTCCCTTTTGAACTTTGCTACTGTTGCTGGGGTAACATGATATCTCAAAGTTATTTGGATTTGCATCTATCTGATAGCTAGGTATTTTGAACATTTCTTCATGTATTCTTTTTGTCTTCTTGGTGTAGTGTCTATTCATATCCCATACCCATTTTGTGATTGGGTTGTTTACCTTTTTCATGTTGATATACTGGAGTATTCTGTAAATTTTAGATATAAGACCTTTATCAGATAAGTGATTATCAAGGGTTTTTTCCCAGCCTGTGGGTTTCCTTCTCCCCCCGTCAGAGAAGTTTTTGATGTGCATAGGGATTTGATTCATCTGTTTTATTCTCTCCTGGTTGTAGGGTTTTCATTATGCTTGGAGAACTATTCTTGCTGTGGATCACATCTCCTAGAGTTCTTCCTAGCTTTTCTCTGATGAATTTTTTTTTTACTCCTAGGACCCTAATCTACCTTGAGTTAATTTTTGTGTAAGATGTGAAGTATGAGTCTTGCTTGAATTTTCTGCAAATGGTTTTCCAATTTTGCCAACACCATTTGTTAAAAGAGATTGTCATTTTCCCACTTAATTGATTTCATCTCCTTATCAAACAGCTAACCATAGGTAGATGGACTGACTTCTGGATTTTCAGTTCTATTCCATTGACTTATGTGTCTGTCACTGTACCAGTACCATGCTGTCTTGACTATAACAGCTGTATAGTAGGATTTAAGATCAGGGAGTGTGATGTCTCCTACCTTCTCTTTTTCAGCACTGTTTTGCTTATTTGAAGTTTCTTTCCCTTCTAGAAATTGGAAATTGCCTTTTCCATCTTGTTGAAGAATGGAATCAGTATCTGTATTGGGATTGCATTGAATTTGTAGATTGCTTTTGGTAGAATTGTCGTTTTTCACAATATTGAGTCTTCCAATTAGTAAGCATGGTTTATTCTCCCAATTATCCATGTCTCTTTTTATTTCCTGTAGTAATATTTTATAATTTTCTTTGTAGAGGTCTCTAATTAGACTTATTCCCAAGTATTTAATCTTGTAAATAGCCAGCGTAATTGGTATTTTTCTTAACTCCATTTCTATTTGTCAATTAGAGAAATCCAACTGATTTTTGTATGTTAAAAACTGTTTTAAGGAGTGTAAAAAGGAACCAGTAAAAACTCTCGAGCGTAAAACATGAAATATTATTTTGGTTTAAGTGAAGAGCAAAGTCTCCTTGTTGTTTACAGTAAAAAACACCAGCTGAACACTCAGTTTATGCCGTTCAGGCGGGGGTTAAATAAATGGAAAGGCACTGCGTGGCAACTGCAAGGATGAACCAATGAGACCTGCGCGTCATCACCATCAGTATTGCAAGGAATGTAAAAAAGCGCTTTTAATAAATAAACCTCCATGTAGGCATTCGTGTCAACACCTTCTGGACACGTAGTTGTTTTTTTCTTTTTTTTTTTTGCTTTTCATCGGCAAAATGAAGAACTAAAATCTGGGAAAACTGCAACTTTGCTGAATTGGTCACCTGTGTCTAATAGTTTTCTCGATGAATCTTTAGGGTTTTCTAAGTAGACTTTCACATCATCTGCATATAAAGATAATTTTACATCATCTTTGCATATTTGAATACCTCTTGTTTCTTTATCTTGTCTTACTGCTCTTCCTGAGACTTCCAGTATAATATTGAATTGGAGAAGTGATAGTGGACATCCTTGCCTAGTTCTTGTTCTCAAGGGAGATGCCTTTAATCTCTCTCAATTGAGAATGATGTTGACTCTTGGTTTTGCATATATACTTTTCATAGTGTTGAAATTCCCTTCTATTCCTATTTTGTTGAGTGTTTTAATCAGGAAGGCCTGTTGGATTTTGTCAGAATCCTTTCCTGCATCAATTGATAGGATCATATGGTTCTTTTTCTTTGTTTTGTTGACGTGCTGAACTACATTATTTGTTCTACTCATTTTGAACCAACCTTTCATACCTATTATGACTCCCTCTTGGTCATGATAAATTATTTTTTTGATGTGCTATTGGGTTCTGTTGGCCAGGATTCTACTGAGGATTTTTGCACCTATGTTCATGAGAGATGGTTTTCTATTTTGGTTTTGTCTTTACCTGATTTTGGTAACAGGGAGTCGAGGAGCAGTCCATCTTTTTCTGTTTTTTGAAATACTTTATGTTGATGACAGTTCTTCTCTGAATGTTCGATAGAATTCACTAGTAAAACTATCAGGTCCAGGCTTTATTAGTTGGAAGTTGGTTTATGACCTGTTCAATTTCTTGTTTTGTAATGGATCAGTTCAGGTGTTCTACTTCAGTCTCTGTCAGTTTGAGTAGTTTGTGAGTTTCTAATGATTTTTCCGTTTCCTCTAGCTTTTCATATTTGTTGGAGTTTAGTTTTAAATTATATTCTGTGCTGTTATGTGCCGTCGAGTCGCCTTTGACCCATAGTAACCCTATGTACACCAGCCCTGTCCTGAGCCAGTCTTGCTGACTCTGACACACCTACCCCTGTTGCCCTGTTTACTGTATCAACCCATCTCATCTGGCGTCATCCTCTCCTATGCTGTCCCTCCACCCTTCCAAGAGTGATGTCCTTCTCCAGTGACCAGTCTTTCCTGGCCACATGCCCAAAGTATGTAAGACGGAGCTTCAATATTCTAGCCTCCAAAGAGAAAACTTGGTTTCACTCTCTCAAGGACAGACCTATTTGTTTTCTTGGCGGTCCTTGGTATGTTCAAGACTCATTTCCAGCACTATAATTTGAAGGCATCGTTTTTTTTTCTGCCATCCTTAGTCATTGTCCAGCTCTCTGAGACAAGTAATTGTAAAGACCATGGCCTGCATTAAGGTACAACTTAGTCTCTAGACTGATGACATTGCTTTTCAGTACTCTGAAGAGGTCGCCAAGAACAGATTTTCCCACTGCAATTTGTCTTTTGATTTCCTGACTGCTGGTTCTAAGAATGTTGATCATGGGGCCGAGCAAGCTGTAATTGTTAACAATCTCAATCTCTTCTCCATCTAAATGTTGCTCCCAATTGGCCCAGTGGTGAGATTCTTTATCATCTTGATATTGAGCTTCAGTCCATATTGAAGACGACTGTCCTTGACCAAATGCTTCAGCTCCTCCTCAGTTTCATCAAGCAAGGTAATGTCATCTGCGTAACGTAGGTTGTAGATGACTCTTCCTCCAATCCTGATGCCACATTCTTTCTCATAATGCCCTACTTCCCAAATGATTTATTCTGCATATAGATTGAAAAAGTATAGAGACAGGATCCCTGACACACTCTATTCCTGATTTTGAACCATGCAGTTTTCCCCTGCTCTATTCAGAGGACTGCTTCTTGGTCCAAGTATAGGTTTCACATAAGCACAATCAATCTCAGATTCCCGTTTTCCTCCAGGTTAGCCACAGTTTGTTATGATCCACACAGTCAAATGCCTTTGTATAGTCAATGAAGCACAGATAGACAATCCTCTGGTACTCTGCTTTCTGCCAAGATCCATCCTTGTTGGATAATCCCATGTTTGTTTGGGATTCTTTTGTTAGCCTTTTTATTTTAGTTAGATCTGTTGTGACGTCACCCCTTTAACCATCTCTTATTTGGATTATCTGTATCTTTGCTTTCTTTTCCTTTATTAGCTTTGCTAATGGTTTGTCAATTTTATTGACCTTTTCAAAGAACCAACTCCTATTCTTGTTGATAGTTTGGAGTTCTTTTCTGTTACATTTACTTCTGACTTAATTTTTAGAAAATTCTTTCTTTTAGAAGTTTAGAAATCTTTTTGCTCTTCCTTTTTTAATTGTTGGAGAAGTTGAGTTAAGTAATCAGTTACCATTGTTTTCATCCCTATTGCTATGATATGGCCTCTAAGTACTGCTTTGGCTTTATCCCAGAGGTTTTGGTAAGTTATGTGTTCATTCTCATTTGTTTCAAGAAAATTTTTAGTCCCTTTTTTCGTTTCTTCTATTACCCATTCATATTCAAGCAGGGCTTAGTTCAGCTTCCAGTTGTATGGTGTTTTCTCCTATTTCCTCCTCTTGTTGATTTCAAAT